GGGATCTTTCTCTTGATCAGACCCTGGGTCTGCCGTCGCCACCATCCCTGCACCTGCTAGTCACAGCCATTGATGTATGTGCTGGCTTCTTCCTCTCTCTCTCTCTCTCTCTCTCTCTCTCTCTGATCACCCCCACCACTTCCCCTTTTCCTCCACCCCTTTGCACTGTTTTTGATTATCAGCAGCGACCCAGAACTCATGTGAGCAAATCTATTAGAATTTCATCTCAGCTTCGCTCGCAATCACTGTCACACGTGCACGTTGTCACACAATCAGTGGCAAATACAGCCGTGCTCTGCTTTTCATTTCCTTCCTCTGCTCACGCCCATGTGGAGAAAGAGTGAGAGAGAGAGAGAGATTTCTTTTTTTTTTTTTTTTTTTTCTCCCTGCAGTGGCTTTCCTCTACGCTTTAATCATTAAATAAAAAATATAATAAAACTCAACAGTATCCGACCTCAGATCCAGACTTCTCATCCCCTCTGTCCGTGGACTGCTGTTTAATATATGCAGGAGACACTTTTCCATTTCCTCCGAGTCAACAGTGGAGGATACAGGTGAGGGCTTAAAGCCATCAAAGCAGTTGAATATATAACACACAAAAAATATATATATATATATTGTGTTTAAGGATAAATACAGCTGGTACTTTTGAAACCTGACTTCACCGTTTTCACATCCAGTACCATTTTAAGAACTTGACACCTGTGTTAAAAATAAGTGCAAATGTCTTACTGCTGCATTAATGACATTTAAAACAAACAAGTGAATGGTCAATAACAGGCGAATAATAATAATGAAAAATATTAGTTTTTTATTGATCCATTTTCTAGGGAAATTCACAGTGTGATTATTTGCAACTCACACAGGCTACCACAGGAGGCGCCATTAAGTATGTGGTCCATCTGGGGTTTGAACCCAGGACCTTTTGTGTGTAAGGCAGCCGTGATAATCGCTACAATATAGAACCACTAGAAAATATTTAACATGACTATTTTTTCCTTGCCATTAGCTCTTTCTCAGGTGCTGTAGATGTTCAGGTCTGATCAGCTCTGGTCTTCCTCAGGATCCTCATTAGGTTCTGTATGAGTGTGAATCCAGAACAGCTGGAGGCCAAGCACGCAGCCTTGGGGAGCACCAGTTTCCTGTTTCCTGTCTCTACCATTTCCACGATAAGCAGTGCTGTATCTTCCCTGAGTTTGGTCGGTTGGTGAAGTGTTTGGTGCTCAGGCTTGTGCTGTGGAATAGTTAACACATCTGTGTACGATTCACAGTTTTCTCATCTTCGGTCTTGAGGTCTTTCCCCAGTCGTCATCACCTCTGTTAGAATCTGGAAAGAAACACTCTGTTTTGAATGATCATTAGGAAGTTTTTTGTTATCTGTCTCAGCGTATGTTCCAGAAAAGTTTCACTCACTCCTTATCTTTGCTGCCACTTACTTCTCTGGCTCGGCCAAGAGCAGATAAGTGGGAAAGTAAGAAAAAGGGCAAACACATCCAGCAGTGTAGCCCTCCAGGGAGAGAGTGTTCCATCAGGCAGCCATCATTTTCTCTTACCGCTGTTTACTTGATTTTGTTTCTCATAACTGAGGTCAACCTAATGCACTGCCTTTGTTTGGCTTTTTGACTTTCCCCTGGATTGGAGGGAGAGACAGGAATAGTCAATAAGAGTGCAGAGAGCAGCTGAAATATTAAATGGGTGAGCAGCAGGGACACGGGAAACAGAAAACTTTTCTTTGGCTTTGTAACTCAGTCAAAATGGTAGTTGACAGGAAAGCAGGCTCTGAAAGCCCGGTGCAAATGTAGTCTGAGTGAGCCAGGCTCTGAGTTTGTGTTACTGTTTATCTTCCAGATACTTTATGTAGTCAATAGAAAAAGACTACTTTCAAATGCTACATCCCAAAGTTAATATATTTCCATAAAAACGTGCTGCAAACTTGAAATCCTAAATCTTCAAAAGCTAGTTTGGCCACTGCAATTCCCCAAAATTCCCATCAGCACTTTAGGCCCTTTATGTAAGTTCATGTATACACTGTATGTTCCTGAGTATAAGTCTCACCAGCCAGCTAGAGTTAGAGTGCCCTCTAGCGGCTGTCAGTGTGAAAATAACTAACATGTGTAATTATATACTTTAATATATGAGAAATAAATAAATTTGCATTAATTTCTAAATCAAAACAGATTTGTATTTTCACACTCTTTTCCTGCATGATGCTTCTTCGTCATCACATTTAACTGTAAACACAAACAACAAAGATGCTTTTTGTGCGTTCCGTTTCAAGGGCTGCTTTAAAATGTGAAAATCGGCCAGAACTACAATTTCAGTTGCACTCTCCTCCATAGGCAACAAGAAGGAGAAGGACAGTCATGAGCTGTGGTCCTCATTGTCTGACATTTAAGTGCTCACACTCAGTGTGAGTTATGGCAGAGACGGTGAGACACTAGATTGCTCCATTACCTTTTTTAAGCACAGCTTTACATGCAGCCGTATATCTATAGCTCACTCACTGTTCTTCACCCCAGCCTCCTGCAGCCTGCTGGAGCCCAGCTTTGAGATTTTTATCTTATTCTGGTCTTATTCAGTTCAGAACGACTACAGTTAATGCATCATATGCACATGTTGAGGGAATAGTTAAAAAATATAGTCGTAATGATGATCTGGATTCATTCAGATGGAGATGTGGGGATCGTTGTACCTGACGGGGAGAAAGAGAATATTAGCACACACAAAAAAAACCCCAACAACATATTTTCCATATTTTAATACCTCATTCCTGCCGTTGTTAACATACAGTTATTCACTGTAAACAAGCCAAAATAATTCCTTATAATAAAAAGATTTGGCAACAATGCTCTACAGCCTGAACAGGTTCCAAGGCTGCAGTTCTTCTAACAACCACATGGAATGCTGGAATAAAATAAATAAATTAAAAAATGGTATTTATTCAGTAATTTCACCCTCTGTACCGTTGATTTGCCCCCATCATTAGCAGTGTAAACTGTTTTAAACTTTAAAAACGTAATACCTTTTTTGAAGACAGAAAAAAACCTATAACAAAATATACTGACACAGTTGTCAACTACTAAAAATCAGAGGAAAAATTGATAGAAAAATGGGACAGTCAACACTGACTTCATTAATAAAATAATAATAATAATAATTTAATTTTTAAAGATTATATTTAATTATTATACATGTAACATTTTATTTGTTCTACCTGACGGATGTGGTTGTTCCTCCCTGGGCGGAAACTTGACGCATATTTTTTTGATATAAAAGCCAGCCCCACCCAACCACACCCTCTTTCTTCGGACTTTGTGGGAGAGGTCAGTGTTTGTTTTTTGCTCTTTGTTTTTAGCATTTTACTTAATTTTGCTTAATATATTTATTTTATGTATATTTTTCAGGGGATCTGGTAATGTATTAAATAAAATAAAATGTATTTTGTTTCTGTGTGATCTCCGTCAGGTAAGTGTCCATGTTGTACACCGTTAGCTCGCTCTTTCTTCGGGCTTTGTGGGAGAGGGAGATCGGGCAGAGTCCAGGAGGAACATTTTATATTATATTTTATTTAATATTTTTATTTATATTTTTTCTTAAAAATAAGATAAAGTTGCGGATGTAACTGTGGTAACCAACTATTTACTCTTGTTTTGACGTCATGTCACGTGCCTCGTTACAGCCAATCAGTGCACGACGTGGCACGTGACGAAAGCACCGCATAGCAGGTCGTGACGTAGATAGTAATTAAGAAGTCTGGTGTCCGTTATTGTTTTAATTGTTTTTAACGGTAGTTTTTAGGCTTCTGTTGCTGCACTTTAACAATTAATGTCTGGCAGTTGCACAGAGAACGGTTTCATGTTCCATAATTTATACATGACAATTGCATTTAAACATTTTTAGTGTTTTTTAGTAGTTGCACGGAGTTGTGTCTGCATTAATAAACACACAGGGATTTATTGTACGTGTGGAACAGAGGAGGTGTTTGTTCCCCACAACTGCCGTCGCTTCACGCCCCCTTCACTCGGTGTTCAGCTGTGAGAGGCGGGGAGAGACGCTGCTCTGCAGCCCAGACCGGGGAGGAGAGAGAGGGACAGAGACGGAGAATGGCGAGAGGCATCCACAACATGGGGCCGAGTCCACGGCTTCTGCTGCTGCTACTGGGGCTAACGGGGCTCCTTCCGGCCCGCATTCGATGCCTGAATGGCGACGAGGACCAGAACCAGGACAACGAGTGCAAGATGAAGAGTGTCACCGTGTCGGCGCTGCCTTTTCTGAGGGAGAACGACCTCAGCATCATGCACAGCCCGTCGGCCTCCGAGCCCAAACTGCTGTTCTCCGTCAGGAACGACTTCCCCGGTGATGTGGTGGTGGTGGACGACCTGGAGAACACCGAGCTGCCCTTCTTCGTCCTGGGTGAGTTGCAGAGCCTGTGCGCTCCTACGACTGTATAACCTCCATACTTTTTTATATATATTTATACCGTGACATCAATGCATTAGCCTCGGCCTAGCTTTATCATGCTGCTGCTAATAACAGAGAGGAAGAAATTAATGTGACCATCAGGAGTATTACCTTATTGCACCACAACGTCAGTCACTGACACTGTTGTTATGAGGGGCTAAAAATACCAACTTAGTTAGCTCCTAATGCTAATACAGTAGTGCAGGTGTGCATGAAAACACAGGCCCCACAGCATCTGGATGCTAACACACAACTTGTGTTTGAAGTGAAAGTTGCAGTTTTTTTTTACATTGACAGAGTACTGTCTGAGTAGCAACACAGGAACCAAAGTCTCGTCACCACAGTCCAACTTTAGAGCCTCGGCTTCTTCTGCTGTTCCACTGTTGTGTTTCACTCTTCAAAAGTTCGTTAAACACAACCTGCTTCTCAACTAATTAATTGTTAATCAATCTTTGTCTGTAATTAAGATTAACCGCTGAAAAGCTTGACATTTCAAGCGATTGAAGGCATTTGTTGACGTTTGCTGGTTTAGCTGGACCCGCAGCCACGTGTCAACGCTTGTTCCTCTGTCCATGGTACCACAACACGGTTCGCTGTCCCTGGTGCTGAATGGTTTTGCAGGACTTTCTGCTCCTGCTCAGAGCTGCAGCTGCTGCTGTTAGCTACAGAAATCCAGAGAAATGACATGGGGTTTTGTTGTGTTGTTGATTTGTTGTTCCAAACCTACAGGAAATGAAGTAAACAACACAATTTCTATTCATAGTCATAGCCAAACAGTTGTGCCTAACGTTGCTGTCATGTATTTTATTGCTACATCTGGTGAACTATACGGACTTTATTTCATCATGTTTTAAGTTTAATGTTGTGAAGAGAATATACAGTGTCGTAAATGTACCTTAACATTTGCAAAAAAATGATTTAGTTATTTATTGGTACTAACATTTTTAATTACAAACATTAAACACTAGTTTCTTTAACGTAATGCACAAAACACAAACTGCAATTAGTACAAGTGTCATTAATCATTGTACTGCTGAACTGCAGGAAGGTTTGTTAATTGGTTACAGTTACATTTGCATTTATGCATTTAGCAGAAATCTCTATCCAAAGTGACTTACAAGAGGAAAATGAACAGTGGAGTTACATAATTAAACAGTTAAACCTAATGTAAAAACAAAACCCAGAAAGAAGAAGCAGCTCGTGTTATTTGATGCTGTGCAGAGTGACAATGGTTTGATTGTGTGTGTCGTTCTTTATGTAATATTATTTATTTTTTGATGCACATTCAGTTGGTGAAAATAGCAATGATGTTGAATGTTGTTGATGAGCAATGCTGGTATTTCTTCATCAGCCCACACTCCTGTCTTTCATGACTTCTGTATTTTATAACATAGCGATGAAAAACTGTAGAAAACTTTTAATGAAAAAGTACACTGCAGAGTTGGACCCAAACAAATTTGCGGTGCAAATAGCCTCCCTGCTCTAACAGAATGTATAAGCCCCGTGGCAGCCCCGGCCTTTTCATTATTTCTTTTTTTTTTTACTTGTCAGCCACTTAATTTCCTTAGGTGTTTAGTAAAAAGTGCACTGCAAAAGTAAAGGAAACTAACTCTGAATAACAAACAAGGACCTTTTTATATATGTCATATCACGGAGCTGAAAAAGTAGAAATGTTGATTGTGTTTTGCATGAAGCAACTTATTCTTTCTAACTTATTTTATTCGTTCAGTGCACAAATAAACCGATTCCAGGTGTTGGTGCTGGAAACAGTGGAGAGTTCCTGCAGGCCTGAGGTTTGGTTGTATATTATATGTCAGCGTGGACTTATAATATATGGACTTCATTTCTTTATACACTTTAAAGAAGCATCAGTGATAGTCAGTCATGCTGACAGCTGTGCTGAGATGAAGAGCATAAACAACATAAAGCTTGATCGATTTCACAACCTCAAGGTTACGGCGTGGATTTGGAAACTATTCTCAGGTATGCATCAATATTTATAGAAAAACAGACACTTTTTTTTGCCTCATTCAGGCTGAGCTTCCTGGTTTGCTAGGGTCACTTAAGTTGAAGTTGAAATTTGCTCACATTTAGGTTGAAAACGTTAATGGAGACAGAAGTTCATATATTGATCTTGATCGTTGTCTGTCGTATGTGAAGCAGGAGCTCGAATATGGTTCTTAACATTGAGACATCAACTTCAGTTTTCACGGTGAACATTGTGGCCTCTGTTCAGCTGCCTGCTCCTGGGTCATCTGTGACAAAGGATTTTTTGATTGATTGGATTGATTTTTCCACAGGAGGTCAGCATTTATAATGTTTGTGTCACTGTCCTTTCTAAAGTATGTCCCTTTTATTTTTTGTATTTTGGGATAATACCCAGTTGTGTCATGTTTAGACCTCATCTGCTGCTAATAGTTAGTGGATTAACTAAAGGACAGGATGTTTTTCCTGGATCTGATGATCGGATGGATGGGATTATCCTAGGATTCAGAATCCTCGGTGTCGCTTTTTAATTTTAAGCTCTTGATTAGAACATGAACTTGGCTGAGGGGAAGTGGGAACAAATTGCTTTCATGTGTTCAGGCCAACTGTGAGTCTTTCTACTTATAACAAGTCACCACTGATGCTGTGAGGCCCGACAGTGGCTTCAAAGTCACAGGTAGAACTGCATATCTTTGCTAACGTTGAATCCTCACCTGCCCACAGACATTTAAGTTTTTGAAGACATCAATAAAGACCAAAGTGAAACTTTTACAGAACAATGTCAAAGCTGAACGGCCCGGAGTCGGTAGAAGAGACGGGGAGGTCCACCAGGGGACCGCGCCCCCACTTGTTAGAGTCAAAGACTCTTTGATTTGTTGTTGGAATTTCCACTCTTTTGCCGTGGCGCCATAAATCGTGCGTGAGGTGAGGAAATGAAGCTGAGCTCTGGGAGAGATCCCCTCTGTGTTTGTCTTAGCGGTGATTTGCACCATCGGGGGGCAGAGGCTGGAGGAATAATCAGAGACTAACTGCCTCCCAGTCAAGGCTCCTCAGCTTTGTTAAAACATCATTTGGCTGCTCAGACTCAGCTCTGTGCCACCGCCAGGAAAATAAATGTGAATCTCCGGAGTACGGCGCTCCTCTGTCGTGGATTGTAGGATTAATAACCTCAGCTGAGAGTTTCCTAATGCACGTTGTTTTATCTTTAGTTAGTCTAAACTAACCCATACGGCCTCTAGTCACACACAAAGGTGCAGTTTACTGGTTACCAAACTACCAATATGTGGTAGTGAATCACAGGACCATCATCCTGTGTTTGACTAAAAAAAAAAAATTAAGGTTAATATTTTTGATCGTAGTCCTCGTAAAAAATATTTACTTCAAAACTGAAATGTAAAAAATTAAGGTGAATATTTTTGAACGTAGTCCTCTTTAAATATTTACTTCAAAACTGAAATGTAAAATATCCTCAAATGTTGTTAGAAATGACGTGATAGATGATGATTCACGGCCAGTATCAGATGCCAACAAGTCACACTGATGTTGTTGCTCATTAAGGACACAGAAGATGAAGTCGTTTGTACTAATTTTCTTCTGCTACTTTAAAAATCAAGTTTTTTTAAGGATCATTTAAAATGTTCCCTTAAATGAAACAAAGTAAAAAAAATATATAATGTGAACTCATTTGTAGTCATTAAAGCCTAAAGTGCAGCTAAAAGGACACATTTACCTCAGATCACAGCGTCTCAGCTACGTATCAGCACATTCTCTAATG